GCATGGACCAAATAAACTAGCCTTCCTCCATCCTCTCTGTGAGGAGTCTGGACAATGCATAGCCCAAATTCCGATTCTGCTGTAAACAGAACAGACATTCTTCATCATGTTCAGCACCAGAACCAGGATATAACACAATTAAACTGAATGTTAAAAAGCCTTAACTTCTGCTCCAGATTTTCCAGGAAGTTCTGAAGCCCTCAGTTGCAATAACAAGGTGGCTGTTCACACACATGTCCTGCTGGGCCACTCGGTGAATCTGCAGCCATCATCAGTCTACTCCTTGTGAAGTGAAAATGAGGTGTCTAGCCATGTGATTGAATTTGGGCACCTTGTTCTGACCTCAGAGTGAAGTGTCTCAAGACGGTGGTGGCTGCACCAGCTGGCTCAGTGGGATACGCTTTTGAACAGACACCCACACACAAGAACAAAGAGCCAGCTAATGGGGGAGGTCGGGGCAGCTCTGGGGCTAAGATACTCTGGGTTTACCTCAAAGTATCCTGTCACATACAGACATTATGGGCTCATTCCCATGTTCTTTTAACCCAGTTTGCGATTTGCTTTTGCTCTGAGTCGGTGAATCGATTCCAGTTGATGCATCATTCCCACTATAGAAGTGGGTCTTTGTTTATTCATTTCTTTTTTGGCACTATTGTTGTTCCCACTAGTTTGTACCCCTTCAGAATGCCTGTTAATCATCTATCCATCATTAGTGATGCAACCGGCAACACATTCAAGAAAACAGAATTATCCCCTGGGTGTCATATGGAGGGCTCTCCCCTGGGATGCATGCAGCCATGGATGTCATATGGAGGACTCTCCCCTGTGATGCCTGCAGCCATGGATGTCATATGGAGGCAAATTTAAAGCAACCAGCAAATTGATGTAAATCATAGCCCTGTGTGTGTTAAAGAGATGTCAAAAAGTCTGGAATTTTTGGATCCAGAACTCTCTGGTTCTTTCCTATTCCTGTTTAGGTGTTGGTCATTGGCATGAAAGATTTATCCAAAAAAGGACCAGAGCCCCCATTACCCTAGCCATGGAAAAACTTGGGAACAGAATATATACTTCTATATATATTCTGTATATATTCTGTATATAGGAGACAAGAGGGAACAGAATATATACTTCTATATATATATTCTGTATATATTCTGTATATAGGAGGCAAGAGGTCATTTTTAATTAGGGGCATTGCAGGGTTTTTAGTCACATTTCCCTAACTGGTTGTCAGTTCCTAAGTGCTTTTTTAATGTAGCTTGTTTCTTGTCAATTTGCAACTTCTTAGGCTATTACTTGGAGAATGATGCTCCAAGCTCTATGACATCTTACTTGCATGATTTAATTTTATTTATTTATAGAATAAGAGCTTTCTTCCAGTACTTCTCTGTTAAACCTCTTGGTGGTCTTGGTTATTTAGTGCACAGATTACATACTTCCCAAGGGAGACAGAAAATGAAAGTTGATTTCACTTTGGTTTACTTATCATTCTGTTTCCCACCTGGGTAAGAGGGAGGAAATGCTCTAGGAGGTGTATGGGCAGTGGGTAGGAGGAAGGAGATCATGGTTGGTCTAGTCCTTCATTCTTTGCTCAAGAGGTAGGATGGAGGACAATAACCTAAACAGGTGATAGGATAGCTACATTTAAAAATATGAACGACTGTCAAGATGAAGGGAGCTTGTTTTCTGCTGCTCCAGAGGACCTGAAGTAATGGATTCAAATGGCAAGAAAAGCAATTCATGAGAGGGAATTTCATGGTGGCAAAACTACTCTGACAATGGAGAAGACTTTCTTACAAAGTGGTGGATTCTCTTTTGTTGGAAGTTTTTGATTCCAAGATTCAAAGATGAGGAAGAAGAGAAAGAAGAGACTAAGGCTAAAGCCATCACCATCATGAAGATGTGTTGCCTGCTTCTCTTTGTTGTTGTGTACCTTCAAGTTGCTTTTGACTTATCATAACCCTAAGGGAAACCTAACATGGGGTTTTCTTGGCAAGATTTGTTCAGAGGAGAATAGCCATTGCATTCCCTGAGGCTGAGAGCATGTGAATTGCCCAAGGTTCATGGCTGAGCTGGGAATTGAACCTTGCTCTCCAGAATCATAGTCCAACACCCAAACCACTAGGCCAGGGGCAGGTAACCTTTCCCCTTTAAGGGCTGAGGGACTTCAGCTCCCAGAATCCCAGGAGCTATTGGCCAACATGGGACTGTTGGCCAACATGGCTGAAGCTTCTGGGAGCTGAAGTCCCTTGACCCTTAAAGGGGAAAGGTTGCCTACCCCTGCACTAGGCCATACTGACTTTTCTTTAGCTATGAGAAAAAAGAAGCAGAAAGTGACCTAAGAGAAGGAAGTCAAGCCTCAATATAGCTGTCATATACAGCACTTCAATTCAGAAATCTAGGCTTCAGTAGTAAAACAGAAAACCTTTATTCAGAAACTAATGTTCAGAGCAGATGTATGTTGTGAGGACTGAAGCAACAATGTTAATAAAGTATAATTAAAGGACATAATAATTCAAATATCAAGCAGGGTTACACCCTATTCAGCCATAAAACCAAGAACTCTCATTTCTTTCTTTACCAGAGTCACCGCTCCTTCCAACCCATACTACTCGGTTGATGGGACTGACTTTAAAACTCCTAGTGCAATCTCTACTCCCCTCACATCTACTCATTAACCACCAAAGGAATGTAGGCAGCAAACATAGCATTTAATGTTTAACAATATATCCCATCATCCAGTATCAGTACAACATAAAAAGCTACAAGCAAACAAAGTGGGGGTCCATTAACCATGACAGGCAAGTTGAAGGACTCAAATCCTGACACTAGCAATGTCTATTGCTGTTGTTTCTGTGTGCCTTTAAGTTGTTTCTAACTTATGATGACCCAAACATAAAGTTATCATAGGGGTTTCTTGAAAAAGACAAGTAAGACATCACAGGGTTTGCATTAACTGACCATTTTAGATTATTTGCAACAGCATTGGTACTTTTAATTTCCTATGAACCCTGGTCTTCATTCCCTGCATTGGCCTGTAAGAGCACCAAGTGTCCACTCAGGCAAACAGAACCTAAACAGACCACTGAACACCATGTATGAATTAATTTGTAAATATATGATTCAGTGGCTTGGTGGGACACATCAACCTGCCAAACTCCTTGTTTTATCCTCCTCCCACCAAAAAGCGGAAGGCTACAAATGGGCACACCAGAGATTGGGGGTTGGACTGGATGGCCCTTGTGGTCTCTTCCAACTCTATGATTCTATGATTCTAGGTGTTTTGCTCCCACATTAAATGGAACAGGTAGTCACATGCAGTCCTGGTTTCTGCAGGAGGGAAGTTCAAACATGGTAATGATGAATCCTGCCTCAGGCCGTGTGGCTGAGCTCCTTCCTTTGGTGTGTCAGCTGCTAGGCTCAGGAAGCTGCTACCAACTGGGCCACCTACCTTTCTTTCTTTCCTTTTGCTCAGTGAGCCATCAACATTTTTCTTTCTTTTGCCTAGGAGGCTTTATTAAAGTTCGAAACCACCCCCTCCATCCTCTCACTCTCCTCTTAAGACTGGGACATGAAAGTCTCCCTTGAACACTGAAGAACTTTGCAGTGTTCTGACAAGTCATTTCTAAATTTGAAATAATCAGATGAATGGAAGGATAATGTCTGCTGACTACAAATGGCCCCTTTAATTCAATCTTCGGCCAGGCTTATAGCAAGAGAGATTCAAATTTTTCTTCCCTCTCTCTTTTTCCATGCATGAATCAGGTACAACACAATGATGTCTCTTTCTCCCTCCCACTTCCCCCCATTCACAGATAAATGTTACTTGGCTTTGATTGAAAAGTGCACTGAACGAGGCAAGCGATAACAGGAGAGACGACAGAGCCTGATGTATTAATAAACCTGGTTAAATTGCAAGCTGTTTCTGTCATAGACAATGTCAGTTGCAGAGTGACTGGGAGAGGCAAGGTTGGACAACTTGTGGCAAGCAACAATCAAAGGTGATTGAGATGTTATTTTTGAGCTCTTCAATGTGCCAGCCTCAGCAAAAGAAGAAAGTCTGAAATGGGAGAGAGGACTGGGGAAGATGGCAATGTCTGAACAAATGTTATGGATCATAAATCACATTAGGGGTTATTATTATCCATGGGTAAAGGGCAATCTTTCTCAAGGCAATGTTGAGGTTCAGATACACAAAGATGCACGAAACAGGAGCTGTCGATGATTGTTGCCAGCAGGCCCAGTTTTTTTAATTATTATTTTAAAAATAGGGGACAGAATCAAAAAGGATCAGCCCCCACTGGAAAAACTATATTTCAGTAAAGTAATTGGATATATCACCATTTATGGCACAATTAGAAAATAAGCCATCTGCAGGCCATTTTTGGCTTGCTAGTATTCTCTTGGAGAAGATGAGATTAGAAACAAATCCAGCAGCCCTTCACCCAGGTGCACTTTTCCATTTGCTTGCTGTCAAAATCTGTTCTGCATTGCTTCCTGTATACTTTGCCAGGTCATATCTGCAGAGCCTGGCTGTACATACATTGCTTTCACCTCCACAGAGACTCCATAAATACATTTCCAGTACACCGCCATTCTCATTGTATCTAGTTATTATGAATCTACATATTCTAAGAATTAATCTAGGTATTCTAAGAATTATATATATCCTGATCTACACATTCTAAGACCAGAAAGCCAGTGTGGGGTTGAATCCCTGCTTGGCCATGGAAACCCACCTTGAGCAAGTCACACACTCTCAACCTCAGGGAAAGGCAATAGCAAACCGTTTGTGAACAAATCTTGCCAAGAAAACACTGTGATAGGTTTGTTGTTGTTGTTGTTGTTGTTGTATGCCTTCAAGTCATTTCTGACTTACAGTGATCCTAAGGCAAACCTATTATAGGGTTTTCTTGGTAAGAGTTGTTCAGAGGAGGTTTGCCACTGTTATTCTGAGACTAAGAGCATATGACTTATCCAAGGTCACTCTGTGGGTTTCATGGCTGAACTGGGAATTGAAGCCTTGTCCCCAGAGTCGTAGTCCAATGCTCAAACCACTATGCCATACTGGCTCTCTGAGGCTTACCTTAGGGTTACCATAAGGGAAAATGACTTGAAGGCACACAACCACAGCAATTGTAAGAACTCATCAAATCTGATTTAGAAAAAAAAATGAATAAAATGGGGGTAAGGGGATCATGGGATGCATGAAATCATGCATGATGTGGAGAAAATAGCACAAGAGATTCCCCCCCCCCCCCCCCCCGAGCCCTTCTTGTAATACTACTGTAGCCAGGTAACTGACTTCCCTTTGGAAAGGGAATAGGGCTGAAAGGGTTGAATAGTAATGGGAAATGGTGTATGTGTAAGTCTGAACTAAAATTGCAAATGTTGCTGTTGCTGCCTCCATTGAACACAATGAATTTATGAGTTACCTTTTACATTGCAGGATAAATGCAATAGCTCATTGCTATGAAATTCTGGAATTTGTAATTTTGTCAGATATTTAGTCTTCTCTGCTAGAACTTTGGGACCACAACAAATCTACAACTACAGATCATAGAGGTCCATAGAATGGAGCCGTGACAGTTAAAGTGGTGTCAAACTGCATTCATTCTGCAGTATGGCAGCTGCCAGTAATTGGAAAGTTCAGCTGGAATGTTTTGGAAAGTTCCACGTATGTCCGTATTAGGATCCTGAAATTGCTTCTCGTTCATAGCTGCTTGCTCTAAGCTGTGCATGAAATAAAGCCTAGGTGACTGATCCTCCATGTCTTTGTGTTGGATCTCCAAGGAAGGACTCCTTTGGGTGGGGTGTTTCTTTCATTGGGGGTTCCCACTTCCGTTCCTTCTGGACATCAGGAAAGTGTGTGTACTCACCTAGACCAACCAGTAAAGGAGCAAGCAAGATCCTTCACAACAAAGGCAGGCAGCTGCTGCTCAGGAGAGCTATCCTTGGATATATTACACAATTATAATGTTGTGATTTACTTTAGTTGCAAACCTATGGAATCATGGGGTTTGCAGTTTATGGAGGAGATTTTTAGAATTCTCACCCAGAACATCTTAGTGCCTCAACAGACTACAAACCTGATGATTCTATAGGATGTTTCCATGGGAGTTTAAAAGGGATCAAAGTATTATATTTATGCAGAGTAAAAGGGCACCAGGTCTATTTGGCTTGCTCATTCTCCTCAGAAGGATTCCCCAGGCCCAAGGGATGTTCCCACTTCTCTTGGGCATTGCCTCATATATTGCTTATGTCTTACTTAAGTAATTCTTAAGTATCACTTAAATATTGATCCAGCATTGTTTAAGTATTGACTTCCCTAGCACTGCTTCAATTAGTACTTCCACATCTCAGTATTACAAACCAGTTGCTTCACAGAATTGTATCATCTCACACAATTTGGGTCACAATGTGCATCTTTCTGTATCTTGTTACAAACTGACAGTCCCTCCCACCCTTCCTCAACTTTGCAGCTCCAAAATATATGTGGCTGTACTTCCAACATTCCAGTGCAACTGAATAAGTGAATTGATATCCACAAAAGCTTTTGTTAAATAAACCAATTTGTCTCAAAGATGGGGCTTGACTCCTTCATC